TGCACCAATATCTGTACCACTATCTATATCTAATTCACATCTTAATGGGATGCACCAATATCTGTACCACTATCTATATCTAAAATTGTCTAATAATTGTATTGTAGAAATAGGCAAAGTCTTGTGGAATGGTGAAAGAATGATCAACTCATTTTGAAACATCTTTGTGGAAAGATATAGAAAATTTCTCAGAAGGAAATAATTGAAAATAGCTACCCTAGGTAGAGCAGAGAAATTATATTCTTTATATAAACTGTCATAAATGAATATATTGTATGCAGAAAGGATGAGAGGGTTCATTCAATCATTTAAACAATATAAAATTATAGACCATATACAACAGAGCAGGCAGCACTCCAGACACGGAACAGAAAAAAGCACTTTCCTTGTGAAGTAGAAGTTTTGCGCCAGGATATCAAAGTAAATTTGGAGCCTAGTGATAAAATCTTGAGGGGGAAACACTGTCACATAAGCTTACATTTAAACCACAGCACTGATCAAGGTCATCTAGAGAAGAAAGCAGAAAAGAGAAATGGAAAATAAATTTGAGACTCTATAGCATGTGTCAGGAAAAAAAAGCAGAAGTACTAATAGAATTGAGATGAAGTGGTTATTGAGTGGTCAGGCAAACCCCAACAGTGAAAAATGCCAGAAGATAGGAGATGAAATTCTTTAAGAATGAAAGAGTGATTGAGTGAGTATAAAGTCCAAGCATATGAAGTGGGACAAGGACTCCGAATTTGCCACTAGAGTCACTAAGGGTGAGGTCATGGTAATTCAGATTTATTTTCTTTTGCTGATTACACAACTAAAATTTTCTACCAGATAGATCTTAATCTCTCAATGAGTCAGAAATTTCACACCTGTAAATGATTTTGAAAATCAGATTAAGAGGAGAAATGACATTTAATATCAGATTTGAGAGGACAATATGATCAAAGACATTGGCAAAAGAGATTTCACCGAAATGCTGAGCAAGTTGAAAACTAAGCTTTAATGTGAGAAATCCAAGAGAGTGAAGAGTATGGAAAATGATTTCATGAAAATGTCCTGTCAGGCTGAACAAATACAAGGGAATTAAAATAGAAATGATAAAGGTACCCCAGTTTTCTTTGTTTCAGCTGCAGTTTCATTCCCTGTTTTGCTTTGTTCTGCTTTATTTTCCACATTTTACCTAATTTTGCCTGAACTTTGTCTAGCTTACAAGCCACTGGTTTATCAGAACAGCTCTTAAAAAAACCAGTTCTGATAATTATTGTTATACCCACGTGCCAACCATCCCAAGCATAAGAAATAAAAAAGGTACAATACTCTTGAATAGTCCCAATAGCAAGTTTCACAGCAATTAGAATTGAAAACTTCTACCTTAGCCAACTCACGTCTTCCCTTTGTTGGGCCTCTCGTTATAAAAGCCTGCTTTGACTCAGGAATCTATCTGATCTTCAGATACTCCTTGATGTGCATTAGTTGAATAAAGACTTTGACTTTTATGTGAGAAACAATTTTTTCACTGGCAAGTGCAATGAGGTGGTTGAGTAGAGAGAGACTTGCTCTGCAGAGAGGCGTACAAAGAAGAAAGCCATTCCTGTTTATTTCTACTGAAAACAATCGTAAGATTAAGGGAAAGAAAAATCATGACCTGCATGCAAGAAGAACAGATTATTTTTTTAGGAATAGATTCCTACACGAGAAATATTTATGTTTCCTAAAAGAAATGGAGGCCTATAAAAAAGTGGAAACTATAAAGGAGAAAAGAGGGCTTATTCATTACTAGGAAAGTAGAGGATATTAGCATACACCATGAAATGTGGGAGTAAAATATAAGGAAATTATTTTTTCATGGATTCTATTTATGTACAGAAATAAGAATGATCATATCAGAATAAAGAGAAAGGAGGAGAGTGTTAGTATTTTAAGGATAGAAGAGAAGGTATGATATGGTATCACCTGTATCAATGATCTCTACTTCGCTATATTGGGTTATCATCCTGTGGTCTGAGCTTGTGAATTTCCTGAGAAGTGAGATACCATTGAAAGGCAATGCTAGAGGACAAGTCTAGATGAAGTGCTGGGGAAGCAATTGAGGTATAGATGGCAAAAAGCAATTTAAATGCTGTTTTCTCACCAATGTGGTTATGGAATTTTTATACAAGGGGAGGGTAAGAATGGTTTGTTATAAACCTGCTAATTTATGACACTTTTTGATAATAAGTTTTGAAACATAATCAACATCAGGGATTACTATGGTAAAGATAAAGAAGAAATAATTTGTGTGAAATATACCCAATAATGACTTTTTTGAAGCTAGCTTCATCATAACTTATTAACCAGGTGACCTACCCTTAAATCATAAATTGCATATGATCTCATATATTGCCTTGAATAGTATTGAAAAATGTGAACATTTAGAAACACTGACATCTATACTTCCCGGCTTCAAAATACCATGTTTCTCTGATTTAAAAAAGCACATACTAATTCTTGAGAATTTAGAAAATATACCAATTTACAATGAAGAAAATAAAAATGATCTGGAATCTTAAGACATAGATGTAATTATTTTAAAAGTCATGTCATGGCTCATTATATATATGCATCATTGTTTATTTAATTGTTCATATATGACAGATGCACACTGTATTTGTAACAGAACTTGCTAATGAAAATTGGATAAGTAGAAGAGTTGACTACATAATTACAAATTAAGATCAAATACTTTTGAAAACTACAACAAATTGCATATATAAGAGGATGTAAAATTATAACAGCAGAATGCAAAATCTTAAAAGGTTTTATGAGGATCACCCGGCACATCGTGCAGCTGCTTACCTTGTACCACTTTACGTCTCCTGCATGACCTGGACCCAAATCAGATACAAACCTTGATTCTCTCTGAATCATAGCAAAATACGTATTATATTACTTTGAGAACCTTCAGAACAAGCAAAACCAGGTCACATTGGCCATATGGCAGTGTTTTTAAAGTTTGGTGCAAGGCCTTTTATCAGAGCAGCTTGTTATTGTGGCAGCACAAGGTTTCCTCAGGAAATGCACATGAATGGGCCAAAGCTTTGATATTTGGAAGAATTTCTTAAAAGTGAAGCATTATATGCAACAAAGAGTGAATGGAATTTTAAACATATCATCTGTAACTACCTTTGCTTCTCAAAAATAATTACTGAGTCCACAGCGTTTCATCAAAATAGGTGTAGAGAAAGCAGATTCTTATCAAAATCACTTACCCCCGAGGTAAGTTTGTTCATCCCTAAAATACTAAGACAAAAAATATCACTCAAGCTTTCCTGTATTTTTTGGCCTTTGGTTGAAACCTGATATTATAATAAAAGAATCTATTTTTCTTGTGGTTTTCTCCCACAGATCCCCCGCTCCACACCTGATTTGTCAGAAACACAAACTCATCAAGTACAGAGATAGTAAGAACAACATCTGCCTGGAAAAAGTGAGTTTGGAGAGAGACATGTGTGAGAGTGCAATAAAATTTTCCACTTCGTGGTCTCTTGCTTCAATGTTATTGCAAACTGTGATAGCCAAGAATAAAGAAAATTAAGAACTACAAAATTAGTAAAAATGCTGGTATTTTGTAGTTATAAATTCTGTACATATGCTTGGGCCTTATCAGGATGGACCTAATCAGAAGGAGGTAGATCTACTACACAGTATTAATGCTAGTGATTGTCACCCACAGAAGTTTGTGACTTCCAAAGATGTGGGAATGTGCAAAAACCAAGCCACAGGGAAAGTTTTAACTATAGTAGACTCTAAAAGTATACTGGAATTTTGAACTAAATTTTAGCAGAAACCAAGTAGAGCGGGTTTTAGGAGTAAAGACTAAACCCTAGGAGTAGGGGAAGAACTTTTCCTTCAAACCACCGAGAGTATGAACTCAGTCTATGGCTATAAAGGGCTTATATGATGGGAAGTCCTACAAGCAAGACAGATAGAAACAAATGTTTCAGAGGAAGATTCAATCTTGGCAAAATTTAAGAAGTAGAGAACTGCATAGTGAAATCCTCTCTCAAAAAGGCAAAAGAAAAAAAAAAAAGCCAAGAACCAAAACTTGTTAAATCAAAATATTGCTTATACCTACATCTTTCATGAATACACTGGAGATTATTTTTGAAACATTCAAATACAATCCTGCAAATTATCCACAGACCACTAGTATAAGGGCTGAGAAGATAAATTCTGGAAACATAAGGGAGTGGAAGAAGAAATTGATCATTACAATTTATCAAATACATCACCTAAAATTAAGAAAAAATTAGGATTATATGGGTGTCAGATTTGTAAAAATTCAGCAATATTCCCCAATAAAAATTTAAAAAAAACCTATACAAGTATGGCAAAAGCTACTGACTGAAATATGTTGATGATGAGACATATAAAATACTGTTTTGGTTTTTTGTTTGTTTGTTTGTTTTCCGGTACCGGGAATCAAACTCATGACCTCGCACTTGCCAGGCAGGCCCTGTGCGGCTGAGCTAAATCCCCAGCCCCTAAAATACTGTTATAGAAAATCAAGAATTAAGCAAGAATAATTCCTGCTAACAGTTACTATATTTTCTGTCTTAGTCTAGGAATATAAAATAGGTAGAGTGGAAAAGAAAAAAAAAGAAAAAAGAAAAACAACTCTTTTTACTAAAACAGTTATATATATATGCACATTTAAAAAAATACATACATTCTCTGATGTGTCTAAAAGAACACAAACCAATATACAAAAACACTAGAATTAATAAGTGAATATTTGACACTACAAAGGTAAAGGAGACTCCATCTTTTAACTCCTTTCCTCTATCTGGTTTATCTAAAAATTCAACATTCAAAGATGGGAGCTATAAAGTATTAATTATTAGTTTCAATTGTATATTAACTTAAATAAAAAGAATATATTCACTGTACTCTGAGCTGAAGGTTACTTGGGAGATTTTCTACTCCCGGCCTCCGCACACGGTAGAAATGTCTTTGTAAGTCACAGGACAACCATCAGGCCGGTGGTGAAAGCATCCCCGGCTACAGCTCTGCATTCCACAGAAGCATGTCACACGCTGGGCTGTGTCTAACCCAAACTTCCATCTATAGGCCTCAACTTTATTCTCTGAAAGCCCTTGAAACATATGCTTTAAACAGCTGTCTTTTTTTATCCTTCCCTGACATTTAGTCTGGTATTGAATCAGACTATCTCTATGTTCAACAACCCTCAGCGAGAAAAAGGGTATTACTGCTGCATTTGTTCATGTTTTTATGTCATTTGTAGAAGAAATGGATGTTGGTACAGAGCTCTGTATTTGTGGAACAACTCCACACATTTGACAGATGGAAGCATTGTCTGTGGAGCCTTCTACAACTGCCTCTCCAGCTTCATTACCCCATGGTGTATTATAAGCATGCCTGATTAAGGTAAATTTGAAAATCTTAGCGCATCTGATTCACTAAGACTTTACCATAAGGCTGAACATTAGCTTTTATATATTCTGTTTTTATATATTTCTGTTTTGCCCAATTTGAGGTGGGATCAGGAAATCAAGGGTTCCAACTCATACTAACAGAGAAGTAGAATTCAAATTTAAGAAGCATAACCTATAGATCATCATGATATATTTCGTACATTAGTCCCATAGTGAAATGAGTAAAGCATACCTTTAAAACAGCAATTACATAACGGTTACAGCAGAATCAGCAAATAAGTAATGTGAAAGACATAAAAGAGACTAAGGAAAGAAGCAAGCAGAGGTAAGGTACCATAGTAGGCCTAAAAGACTATTTTGCTTAGTGATGTCATAGCAGCAGTAGCTGTGTAGGCACCCTTTGACATTTCCACACAAGGCTGATACATCTACTAACATTTCTCAGGATGTACCACATAATTGACAGACGACTGTACTGCCATATTTCCTTTAAGCTGACACAGCATCTTCTACAAAGCTTTGGCTATAGCCTCTCATCTGTCATTTCTGCATAATCACTTTGAGTCTACCACCTGAGTGTTTTCTAAGCATTTGACGCACAAGTACTAAGAATTAGAATTTGCTATCCAAAGGAAGGTGTCCATGATGTTAGAAATTACGGCATAATAAGAAAGATTAAAGAAGATTATGATTAAAGAAGATTATTTACCCTGGAGAAAAATGAATTGTGTATGTGACATATACTACATACACAATAAGTGTTTGTTGAATGAAGGAAAGTGGTTTCAAATAGTTTACTTAAGGGAGTATTAGCTCTACATTGTTAGAAAAATTACTAGTAGAAGACAGATTTAAGTCAAATTACAAAAAGAGGAAAAGTGCATTTTCAATAGTAGAAATATTCAACAATGAAATTAGTTGCCTTGAAATGAGTTTATAATTGCATAATAATTTCATTTCACTGACCAGATGATTTCTGCCAAGAAAAAAATAAAAAAAGGATAGAGGTCTGCCCTATCAAACGCTGCAGATAAACTAAGTTAAAAATCACAGAACTTGCCCACTGAATTTACAAACTTGGAGGTCATTGTGCATCTTCATTAGAACATTGTGCTACATAACTGTTAAGGAAAGTTCTTGAATTTTCAGCCTGAACTGATTATACTACTCATCTTCACTTTGAGTAAAATATACCTTTACAAACCACTTTATTCTATACCATAAGGGTTGTGCTGGTAAAAGACATTAAATAACGCATTTACAACCATAGGAGCACCACTGAAAGTGACACTGACAGTTTGCACTGTATTTATGCCATCAATCAAGAGATTTACTTTATATTCCTTTTTTTAAATTACTGCTTTACAATGCAGTCAAATATGCCATTTTACAAATATAAAACTTGTATAAATATGCCAAAGGTCATATAATAATAGCCATTATAATTATATAATAATATAATACTAGTGAACATGCATCATGTTGTTATTTTAAATATTATTTTAGGTAACTTACATGTTTCCATTTATTTAATTCTCATAAAACTGTAGTCAGAAAGAATTCTTACAATAATTACTACACTGATGGAACAACCAAGGCACATGGAGGTAATATTTGCCCAGGGTCACTTAGCTAGTGAGATTGTGGAATAAGAATTAAAATTCAGGCAGCTGGTCTCAAAATCCAGTCTCTTACATAGCTAACCTTACCACCTTTCACAAAAGCATGGAGTAACCAAGTTATAACTTAAACTCATGTCTTCTATGCCCAACCATCTTATATTTCTCCTACTTCTAAAGCATTGGAAAACTCCCCGACTTAGAGTAGATGAGGAGAAAGGGGTATAATTTATATAAATATGTTAAAGGCAAAAGAAGTGCCTGAAATTTATGAAGGCACCAAAACAAGCCAAGAGTTTTGCTTAAAGTTTGAGAGAAACAGACAGAACAGATACAGCTACAGATACAAATACAGAAATAAGCTTTTGATTTATTTTGTTTGCATCAGTCTCATCACTAATGTGTTGCACTAAACTTTACCGAAAAGTTTGCTTAAATATCAAAGTAATAGGATAGATCAAAGGAACATGATAAAACATCATCTAATGAAATCTATGGCTTCATACGAACTTTGATCTTTTATTAACTTTTGACCTAATTCTTTCATTTGGAAACTGCCTCTGCATTTAGAATAATTGGTAGCATGTTCAGAGTTCATCACGAAATGTCATTGTCTTCTCAAGAAATACAGTTTTCCCTAAAAGAAATATTTTGCACATTAAAAATGAATATAAATATTTTAAACGGTTAAAGGTATTTCTTCTCTACCAAGAAAATATTCCTAGGTGAAATAATAACAAATATTTTTAAATAAATGGAATAATATATAGCCATATAGAAAATTAATTTTTTAGTTTGTCTTTTCCACTGGACTATTGCACTCCTCAAGAAGAGAAACCTTGTTCTATTTACTTTTATTCACTTTTAATTAAAAGAAAAGAAATTAGAACTGCACTGAGAAAACTCTTGC